TTTTTTTTATTGGTCTTATGGAGTATTCTAATTTGTTGAGATAGTGAGTTGGTGGGTTTTTGTTAAATGTGAGCCAAAATCATCACAATTAAAAGAACCAAAGACTTACTTCAGTCTGTGTGCATTGAATTTATTTAATACACGAGTTTCACAATTTGAGTTGAATTACTGAAATAAATGAACTTTTCCACGACATTCTAATTTATTGAGATGCACCTGTAGTATTAACATCTGTCTGTATGATTTATATGTGAAGTCAACATGCCGTTTACTGTAATGTAATGTTTAGGGACAAAATCAGACAATCATCAATGAATTATGGATGATTCATTGATTCATTGATTATGGATAAATTAATACAGGCACATTTGTTTTGTACACAGGGCCAAACTCATACAGCAGGAAACCCACCGCAGTACCACCCTTCTCATGCTACTGGCATATCAGTACCTCTAGGGGCATTCATTCATACTTCCTATGCTTTAGCAGTGAGTGAAACACATATCTCTTTACTGATTGTTACATTACTTTTCTTTAGTATTAAGTACTGAGCATTTAACATCAGTATGGAGTATTATGCATTACCATCCCTTTACTGATGAATGCATCACTCTATTAATTATCAGTACGTGGTATGATATAGAGTATTATTTCTTTCTTTATCTCTCATGACCGTCAACCTCTAGTCAATGACCATTTTGGTTAAAGTTCAAAATCCACCTGTTCCCTGCTGACCACACAGTTGTTAATGTGGCAAAAACAACACATAGTCACATGAGCCTAAAATGTAAACATTTACAAACACACACAGGTTACTCCTGTTATACAATGGACTTCATAACCAAACAATAAACCACTGAGTATTTATTTGTCAATTTGTTGAGGTCAACGATCAATACTTTTATTTAGCAAGGATGCACAAAACTGACAGCAAAGTCTTTTATGTCACAAAAGATTTATTTCAAATAAATGCTGTTCTTCTGAACTTTCTATCCATCAAAGAATCCTGAAAGAAAACGCAGCACGGTTTTCACAAACATATAAAGCACCACAATTATTTGAACAATGATAACAATAAAAGAAGTTTCCTTAACAGCCAATCAGCATATTAGAATGATTTCTGAAGTATCATGTGACCCACTCTTCATCCAATCAAATCACCAATGATAAACTTTATGGGGTTTTTTCCTCATTGATTACCTTGTTTTATTCAGAAATATGTCACATTACAGAAGTAAACGAGTCCCACATGACAATTCATGTTGACTTTAAAGGAGTATGTTTATCCATATGTATGTGGATAAGAGGAAGTGACAGCTGTATGGCGCTGCTGCAGTCGTCACCCAGCGGGGAGGGTGCAGGGGGGGACACTACTCCATTCAGCTGCTCCAGGGAGCCCTGCGCCATTGTCATGCTTCTCCACCGCAAATATTCCACATGCATACATCCCATCCGTCACACAGCACATCTAGCCTAACCTGCTGTATGCACACAAAAACAAACAATTCTGACACTACACCCAAAATACTATCCAAAAGCTCTCCATTAGGAAGTGACCAACAATTTTGCGTACAAGTGTATCCAGGTAATCTGAACAGTCTCGGAGCGTTTCATTAGAGTTTGACACATCAGTTAGTGGGGGTGGGCGCTTTATATATGACCTTCCTCTCTGTAGGCCACACAAACTCACGTTCACTGAATGCTGCCACAGAGGGGGGAACTGGCCATCCATATTGGCTGCGTGAGTGTGTCTGAGGTTTTGTTTTGAGATTAAAGGGTTTTCACATTCCTCTGGCCCAGGGGTCAGAGGTCACCGTGTACACCATGCTGCCTCCTGTGTGCAGGTTTAACCCCTTCTGTCCAAAGGCAGAGAGTGAGAGAACAGCTAATTCAAGGTCACAGACAGTCAAATACAGGCAGTGTGCCAGATTCTGATCAATTACACCGTTACAGTGAGCTTATAGTCAAATACATGAGAAATCTGCACATTTCCACAGAAATTAAATAGCCTTTTTTTTTTTTTTACAAAGTCAAGGGCACATTCACCTGCCCTTTATGATTATCTATTAAAATATTTTGCAGAATTTTGACTTCGCTCAACTAAATTGAGTGTTGCTCTTTCAGTCAATCAAAAACTTTTTATCAGGTGTCTTTATTTATGAACAGTTTTATGTACAGTTCAAGTTTATTTGTATAGCGCTTTTCACGATACAAATCGTTGCAAAGCAACTTTACAGCAAATTAAGTTTCTACAATATTTAGTAGTAGCTTATCAGTGGTGACTGTCAGTTAATGTACATATGGGAGAAATGTACGGAAAAATCAATTAAAGACGTAATCAAACAGACGATGAACACTATTAACAATGTACTTATTATGTTCATGTTGTATTGCAAAACACTTCTGCTGCTATTGAGGAGGGATACGGGTAAGGTTAGGGACAGGTTTAGTGGTATGGTTAGGTTTAAGGCTGGGTTAAGTGGTAGAAGTTAGTTCAAAAGCGAAATTATAGATGTAAATACAGTAGGGGTGTAACGGTGCACGTATTCGTACCGAACCGTTTCGGTACGGGTCTTTCGGTTCGGTACGCATGTGTACCGCACGAATACAGTTTAAAACCGAGGTACGTACCGAACTGTCATATTTGTGTACCGTTACACCCCTAAAATACAGAAATTAAAGATAAAATGTAAATACAATGTAAAACATGCATGTACACAAGTACACCGATTTAAAGATTAATTTCAATGTTAGTACATAGTAGTTGAAGAGTATGACTAAAAATCTTCAGAAGACATTTAAAATGGTACAGTGAGGGAAAAAAAGAAAATGAATTATCAAATTTTAATTTGATTTCTTGCCTTTTTTGCATTCTAACCACTTATGTGGCAAGTTTAGACCTTCTAAACATTCAAAACACTAAACAGTACTGTTGTAATTTGATTAAAACTTAAATTTTAATGCAAAATATCAGTACGTGGTCCATAATAAGTATCACTGCTAGCATGAATAGATTCTGATTGAATTCAATGCAATCAACTATCAATAGAACTAATGCTTACAAGATGTTCACAAGTTGGCAGAATCATTTTCTATAACTATTTTGTTTAACTTAGAGCTACAGTATTACGAATATTTTATTTAAATAGATATAGAATATATAATATTGACTCCAGCAAAATACTTTTTATTACTAGAAGAAATAGAGAGAATATTAAGAGTACATAAATAAAACCTTAAAGAGAGCCTTTTCTTGAATGTTTGTTTATGAAGACGATTTCAGCTGAAATTATGACTGCCTACTCCTGTCATGGAGTGACTTTTAAAAATGCAAATGTTTGCAAAACATCTACCCAATCAGAGAGCCCATCAAAAGGTCAGTGAGTACACTTCTGGTGAACTTCCACCAGGTGGGAGGGACTTACAAACAAGAAAGATGATTTGATTTGATCGGCACACAAGAACAAATTTTACCTGTCCTGGACACAAATAAACAGAATCTATTCACTCAAATCGCAAACCAAAAGTCAAAATATTTCATTTGACATG